TGCTCAGTTTCTGGCCATAGGCCTTTATGTATGGAAATCTATTTTCAGGAGAGCCTTTGAGTACAATATGGCTTAAGGTTATAAAGTTGGTTTTAATGGTGTATATAATTTCAAACATTCCAGTGAAGTATCATTGCTTTTTTTTAACTTCTGTTATTTTAAACCAATATGTAAGCCCAGGAATGCAAGATGAACTTGCATCTGAATATCCTCAAACATCAGGAATGCCCTGAATCTCAAGCCTGTTTTGTGTGTTTACAAATAACTCTTTATAGTGGTGTTTAAGGAAAGAAAGTCAGGATGCCTATCAAGATAAATTGCTTACTGCTTTGTAGTTTCTGTAGTCAATGGCACACGCAGACAAGTATGATATAACTAGGCTTATATTGATGCAGTCTGTTTATAACCTTATACTGCCCAGTAGCTGCATATATTTATTCCTTTACAGACAACTTGGCTGAGGAGGACAGCTCTTAAAAATTCAGAGTGAGGCTCAAGCTCCAGGTTTTGCATTCACTACTCCAACATCACTTTTGCTGCACAGGGGAGCCAGATAGATCCTGACTACTTCTGCTGTTTGCAGTCTAGATCCTAATTCAGCTGTTGTATCATGAAGCCCTGCATAATGGCATGGGTAGAATCTCCTGCCTGTGTTATTGCCATACAAATACTTGAAGGAATCCTTTAGGACTAAAGTAAAATAGTTTTTAAGTTTACAGCTAAGTCTCCAGCTGTTCTGGAGTACGGAATTCAGAAGACATCTGATCTCACCATGGATGTGATAAATTAATATTGCTCCCTTTACTCCACAACATTGAAAAGCTAGAGTCTACAGATGTGTTTTTGAACATGTATGGCTACTTTTGAAAAATAATGACTTTATATTTGAAATCTTGACACCTATTTCAGCTGGATATGTCCAAAATACCCAGGGTGCTTCATAAAGGCCTGTTACAATTTACTTTTAAAAGTTTGTGGGTTTTTTTAATATAAAATGAGTATTTTGGTGGACTCTTCACGAGACAAAACTTCAACCTACCAAAGTAGGTCTCTCTCACCACCCTCTATAGCGAGTAGAGGCTCAGGACCTTCAGAGGTGATGCAAAAGTGATTACTTTCTCTGATGACTATAAGGGGACCTCAAGGAGTGTGACCTTGCAAGATTTAAGTAAATCCTTTTGAATACTTTATCACCAGTACATACCCAAATAAACTGGCTCCATTTCACTTGGCCAGATCTTGTTTATTTTAGTCCTGCTAATGAGAGTATTTCAGTTCTCTGTTGTAACTGAATTCTTGCTTATGGCTAAAGGGGGGATGTTCTTTGATTCACATAATGAATACTAATAGTATTTACTGCTTTAATACCTATGGCTGATTGTATCCTTTTATATATCCTTTTTTATATAATTTTTTATAAATTTAGCCCATATCTATAAGCCTCAGTTCTTGAAGAGATTAGATGATCACTTAAGTAGTTCTGCCCAAATCTTCTTTATAATCTACTGGTCAGTTTTCAGATGGGAGACACAGTGCAACTATTAGGCAAAATTCGTAGCACTTCAGAATTATAAACAAAGTGAAATTAAAAACTTTATCAGAATAACTGTATTCCTTTGTTTAAGCTATCTCTTCAACTCAACGAAATATGAATGTTATAGAATTACTGCTGTCTTTGTTAATATTGTTAACTGTTGGCATGTACCCACCGAAGACTCCACTGGAGACATATTCTTGAGTCCTTCAAGGTTGTGTAGCTAATGCAAACATATTAGTTTGCATCTGTATACCTTGGAGTGCAGAAGGATCTGTAATGCCCATGAAGGTCATGATCCCCTGCTGATATAAATGAACTCTATTAAAAATAGTGGAGATATGGTGATTTGTTTCAACTGAGAATTTGCCCTTAGATGTGCACTGTTTTAAATGAAAATCCGACAGGAAAGATTTTCTGCACATGTGGGTTTTGAGTCATTCAACTGATGTTGTTTGCCAGTGTGTGAAATAGATAGGCCTGTATTATTGGCAATACTCAGCATTTCTCTTCAGGCTATGCAGTGTTCATTAAAAATACTTGTTTTCGCTTAGTGGAGTATTAATAACAATGTGACTTAGTGCTTGTGAAATGTTTCATATGTTAAAAATGCATTGAAATAGCTGGATATTGCTTGTCGGATCTTCACAAGGGAACCATATAACCATTATTATATATATTTTAGAGAATAAAACTGTAGCTGACTGCAGGAAAACTGAAAGGACTGAGCTCAACCACATGATTTTTGAAATCCAGAGCCTAGAATAATGTGCATAATTTTCCTAGTGCTTTTCTTAATTCAGTCACCCTGTACAAGAATGAACTATTTCGGGATAGACTTGTTTGTTTTTAAGTACAGCAGTCATGAGAAGAATACAGACATGTGGAATATATTAGTGGAAATTGGAACATAGTGTAGAGATGTTCAGGTCATGTTTATGCCATTGTTTTAATATACACTTTTAAAATATTAAATCTGATCTTTTTCAGCTATTAAAATTGTGATCGTCTAGTGTAGATCTTGAAGTGTTACTGTCACGTACATATTTAAATGGAAGTCTGCAGAGGAATATAAACTTAACTTAAAGGAGTAATTCAGCATTCAAAGATACTTGGGATAATACTGTGGACAACACGCTGCAAGGCCATTAATGTTTAAGACTACTTCCACAGTAGACTTTGTAGTCAGATGTCCCCCTGACTTTAACAGACTGTACACAATTTTGAAATATTTAAATCATTACAAGAGGGACTTATCCAAACAGTGATGTGTTTTTTTGAGTTTCAAAATGCTTAAAGGAAGAATGAGAGTCTGCAATAATGAGGTTACTCACATTCTGGACCTGTCCACATTCTACAGTCTGATGCTGCATTTTACGGTGTATTTTGTTCTTGGGGAAAACATGAAGTGAAGAAAAACTTCAATTATAGTTAGGTTTGCTTTCTAGACATTGACTATTGACAATTATGTTAAGAATTTGCAAATGAAGGCTTTTTTTCCTTGTTCATTGTTCAATATTTTTATGCCACTCACTGAGTGAGGTTATTTCAAATTAGCTGCCTCGAAGATTTAGGTTTGCTTAGAGACAGTTGTATCATTAGTTGCCACCTTCAAAGTTATAGCTTACTAGAAAACTTTTTAAAAATCCCAATATTTTACATTGATTCTGTCTTCTTAGAAAAATAGGCTCTAAATATAAAGCTTTTAAAGGATGCGCCAATGTGGAACAACATCTTTGTCATCTGAAAATGCATAGGCATAAGCTGAGTTGTATCCACAATGCTTTTACTGGTCCTGTTTACCTAGCAGTTCAGAAGAAATCAATTTTGTTGTCAAGGCTGACAATAGCTTGCAAAACATAGTAGAAGAGTCCTTACTTACTTTGGTTCCTATGCAAGTATTGGTATGAGAAATGGTCGCATTACTCTGAAATAGAAAGTCAGTATCTACCTTAAGGGATTCCTTGAAGGTTTCAAGGTGAAGTTCAGACCTCTCTCCAAGACTTGTGTTTGATCATCTGATCCCTGTGAAGACTGTAAACGATTTCAGAAACAGAAAGTAGTAGGAAAATTTCTAAGTCACCCTGCATATATAAGCTCAGTTTTTTAAAGTAATTGTTCCTTTCAGTTGATAGAGAATGTACTAATCATTTCAAAGCATTTATTATATTACACATTCACTTCTAATGTAAAAGTTCTTTCCTAATCATCTCTAGTCTTTGCTTTAATATTAAGCATATTGCTCTGTTCACAGATTATTGTTTTTTAGCAAGGGAAATAACTATGAAGTATGTTATATTGCCTATAGCAAGGTTATACACCTAGGTGCCTACTAAAATATTGCTACTTTTGTTTCCACTAGTATTTATTTTAGTATGATTTACAAAATGAGACAGTTACGTTCATAACGTAGACTTCCTAGTGTACTGTAACTGAAGCCCAAATATTATAGTCAGTGTACGTAGCTATTTCTTTAACGTTTATGAGAATCTGGTCCTTTCCCTGGAAATGTAATGTGTATTGACTTAAGACTTTACATAAAGACACTTTCACTGTTTGTGATTTCTTTTCCTTTGGACCTGGGCAGTCCAAGGTAGTGAGTAATGAATGATTGCATTAGAGAAACAAAGTTCATCAGACAGTTTGGATTTTCATACCATTTCTGTGCTGACATGAAAAAAAGAGTATTCAAAACAGCTAGTAGACACAGAACTACTATGGTAATATTGTATAGAAAAAATGCTAGGCAGTACAATAAAAGTGTTAACTACAATTTTCAAATAGCTAGTAATGATATAAGCACTTTGCTTATAGATAGAAGTAAAAAGTTAAGATTGTTTGGAAAGTATACAACTGATTCTCTTAAGACCTCTCAAATATCTCAAGAGCTCAATATTCTATTGATGCTGAGAATGAATTTGCTGCTAGATGAAGAGATTGTCCATTTTCATTGACAATGTTTGCATTGCAGTATCTTGGACATTGTGAAACTCACCCATTCTGTTTTACAGAAGTAAAATAATGAATGCTGCAGACTAAAGCACTACCAAACTGCATTGTGGGCATCTGAATTTATAAATTACTTGTAGAGAGATAACATGATTTTTCATATGAATATGGTGATAATGGATTGGCATCAGTAATAATAATTATATTAATGTTGTTCCATAAGTAACCCTGGATTATAAAAAGAGTATTACAGTAATTCAGAAGATAAAAAGTGTTTCATTTTGTTTGTATATACTGCTAGTAACGCGTATGTTTTGATTCAGTGGATTATGCTTAACATCACGAACAGGCATTCTGTGAATGTTGTGGCAGTGGCTCCTGAAACGTATTAAAATTCAAAAAAATTCTTAGGCATGTATGATTTACCAAAAGCTCTGATGAACTGAGGACACAAAGAACATGCTTGCTAAAAGATCACAACCAACCATTGTTGTGTTTTCTATCATATTTATTACAGACTGACAAGAAAGAGAGAAGTAATGCCTTGAATGTTGCAATAGATAGCATGTGCAAGAAGACAAGAGACCTCCGCAGACAGGTAAGCAACCTGGGGAACTGAAAAGCTAGAAAAGGAGGCTTGAAGGATCCTTTTCCCAATTGCTATTTTCAGGTTTTGTAGCACTGCATTCCGAAAAGAAATATTTCTTCTATATTAAAAAAATAACTCAAGATAGTTACACTATTCCACAGAATATATATGTACAAATTTTCAAAATTCTGGGAAGAAACCCTACCAAATGATACTGGCTGAATATATGTATGTACATAGTCGAAACTCTGCACGTGTACATGTCTAAATATGTATTTGCTATAGAAATATATCAGGGATGTACTATGGACATCAAGATTCATTTTGTTTTAAAGAAGCTTGAATTATTATTGGTTTTTGGAACAGATACCTTGAAGGGACCACTGGGCCACTATGTCTAGTTCTTTACAGTTGTGAGAACTCGCACAGCAGAAAAGGGTCCTTTGAATATCTGGTCCACAGTCCACCCACCCGTTTTGCATCTCAGTATTCTAAAACTAATGTAAGACATGGACCAAAATCCACAACTTCAGTGTACTGCAGAAGGTGAGCAGTAGACATCAGCTGTGTTTACATCCTTTTTCTGCAAGGAACATCTTTGAGAAAAATTGCAAATTATGTTGAAAGTGTATAATGTGCCAGTTTAGAACAGAGAGCTAGAAAGCCAGTAGTTCTTTCAGCCAGGCTGTCCCAACCAACTGTATGAAAATTTATGGCTACACAGAACATGAGCACACGCTGCTTTCATCCTGTCTGTAGCTGTGGCTATTTCTGGTGGAAGAATATCCCTCCCAACTTTGTGTACAGTCTTACAAGCCAGCCTATGCTTCAAGATGATGAATAAATTCCTTCCTGTCTCCCATAATCAGCCAGGGGAAGCCTTGAAAGATGAGATGAATATAATATAAATATAGCGTTTACAACTAACTAGCTATCCAATTTCTGCTCACAGTCCATCAAAAATATGTTCAGCTCAGACACCCGGTGACTTGCATCACAAGCTCAGTGTGTCTAGGAACTCTCCTATTCTGTCCTACAGTCTCATCCATGAGTTAATTAAACTCTGACTTACAACAATTTACTGAGTCAGTTACAGTGTTTAAAATCAGTTAACTAATTCAGTTTCTGCATTTCTATAAACCTGTGTAAAATGTTCAGGCTGAATGTAATCATGCCCAACCATTATAGCCAGTCTAGAACCAGTAGTTTTGTCTAACCATAGTAGCTCTATGGTTTCTTGACATTTTCCACTGGAAGATATTTATGAGAAATATTTCATCTGCTTCTTCCAATTCTGTGTTCATACATGTGAATTGCATAAGAATTGTTTTAGGAGCAGTTCTTACTGCATGTCTAATTCCTGATCTGGGAAACATGAAATTTTGAGTTCTGTGCCTGCAGATATTGCAGTAGAGTCTTATTTGCTTTCACTTATGAACATTCAATATCCTGTCTTCCACCACTTTTAATAGAAACAAGAAAATTGCTATTTGGTCTACTCTTACAGCTTTCATAATACTTAAAATTTTTTTGAATGATACTATCTATGTACCATAGCTGGTATTACATTAGGCACTCACAGTGGATTCAGGGCTTTGGTGTGCACAATGTACTCTGCTTTCAGTCAATTACCGGGTTTGCCTCTGCAAAATTGGGGTTGAAGATGAAACCTTATTAAGTTGTATTTTTGAAATCTCTTCAGTGTAGTGCACAATAAACAAAACGATCATGTAAGTCACCACCTGATTGAGGGTTATGCCATGGGCTCCTATGGAACATCTTTGTAAACCACAGGTAGTAAAGTGAAGGAATCTGGCAGGATTTGAAGGCAAAAGAAGCTATCTCAAGAACAGTGTATTCTGGAAGTTGTAGAAATCTCTGGCTTTTCAAATGAAATGATTTGTATTCACTTCAGGAACTTGGCCAGGACTTGTGGGGATTTTCAACTATTCTGTTTTGATTTTTTCTTGTATTGTGCCAGAGATGTGCATGTCATTTCTGCGTGTGCAGTTTTACCTAGATCACTGCTTCCCTGCCTAGTAGAGCTGTATGAATATTTAGGAAGGAATTGCCTATTTATTCCAGTTTCTAGTTCTGAGAAATTACTACACTGGGTTCTTACCTCCCAGTTGTTTCCCAGCGTACTGTGAATGGAGTGCACAGATGTTTCTCCTATGGTCATTCCACAGTTTAGGTTGGTTGTTTTTTTAATAAATGTTCCTCATGATATTCTTATATTGCTGCTTCGTCATGGATAGCTTTTGCTGAACACAAAGGAGATTGCCTTCCTGGCATCCCTTCGAAACAAGCAAGAGAGATCCCTCAAGAATAACTAATCTTTAGTTCTTCCAGGATTTTTGCCAGTGTAGTCTTGTGAGGCAATAGGCAAATAGAGGCAAACACAGTTTTCTGTACTCATCAGGATACTGATGTTTAATAGTGTTGCAAACAGCTGCTGGGATTTTCTTCTCTACCCTCCACTGTTTGTTTTTGATGAACTTATGCCCCGTGTTTTATAAACAACATGTTTCTATGTTATTTTTTAATGCACTTCGATATCAAAACAAAAACTCTCCATGCTTCCACTTCCATAGCAGTCTGCTCAAAGGAAGAATAAGACCTTGCACCTTAAAAATAAAACAATTTGTCAGATGCCATCTTCCCTCTGCTTCCCCTCTTCTGATGGTGTCTCTTTCACTTAAAAATATGAGAAAAATTTTAATTATAGCACAATAACTTCCCTAGTATTGCCTGCTAGCATTACTGGTGCTGTTCTTTGTCTGTTTATATGTCTCCCTACATGGCTACTTAGCTTTTAGCATTTTGCTTTAGAGCTGGCCAGACTCAGAAACAAACTTACTGAGTCGTGGAAAAAAATGATTGTTATGATTAGGATGAAGAGAAATAGATATTGTTTCAGATACTCCTTTTTTATTTTGTCTTTTTCCTTTCTTTGTTCTACATTGTATTTCTTCATTCTTTAATACTACATAAGCCATTGTTTGAAAATCAGCTTCATGTATTCCTTCGCATAGCTGAAACAGGAACATAATTTCAAACTTGTTTGTATTCAGCAAAGACACAGCATTATCTTTTTTTTGAAGAAGAAGAAGAAGAAGAAGATGCGTTTCACTGTTTAATTGCAGGATAGAGGATTTCTTAGAACAAAATAATAATGATAATTTATATGTGAAAGGTTAATTAAACCAAGCAAACTAGTAAAAAGCTACAGCAAAGAATTATGTGATGAGAGAGAAAATTAGGCTGCTGGCTTGAAAATTTGATGCCTCGAGCTCCCCACAAATATGACTAAGGTCATTGCAGTCACTGGTCCTCAAATAATACAATAAGGCTGCGAAAGTCCTACAATCTGGGCTATGCAGAATCCAAAAATATTTCTTTTGGTGATAATGAATCATTGGCTGTGGATATAGTTCCACAGCTTTTTGTTGCTGATTATTGTAAATTGAAGTCTTAATGTTTAAACTGTGATTCCTCAAGGTCACATTCACGTACTTAATTTGAAGCAGGCGAGTATGTCTGTTTTCTTCAGTTGGACTTTTCCAACACATAAATTTTAACAGGTAACTTGGGAGGACTGGAGGTTCAATGTATTTTGTTCCTGGTAGTGAAACTTTTTATTATGTCTTTCTTTTTATTTTTTTAAAATTCCAGCCTGAATAAAGCTGGGAACATGAACATGACAGTAAAAATCCAGTTTTGTATTGGAATCCCATAGCTTTTGTCTTTGTAAATTACTTTTGAGAACATACAATGTATCCAGATAGTATGCCCTAATGTGATAAGCTACAGTAAGTTAGAAGACAAAAAAACATTCCAAATGTATACTTACCTGTAAATTTTTTTTTTTTTTTTTTTTAAGATTTGTCTGTCCCATGTGGTTGGTGAATCAATAAGAGCTGGCTTTAGATGGTGAGGCTATCCAAAAGCTGGTGGTGGAATTCATATCCAAATCTTGTCTTAACAATCAACAGATTTCTGTACTATTATTTCTGCTGTGCATGTTCACTGCCCTACCTACAAGGACAGCAGCACCAAAAAGATTGTGATTTTTTTGCATTTTTCTAGCTGTAGGCATCTTTACTTCTACTGAGTTTTCACATAGATACATTGGAGCAAAATGCTAAGTGAAAACATGTCCTTTGTCAACAAACCTGTCAGCTTATAAGAGCTTAAAAGCCTTTTATATTCTTTTCTGTTCCAATCAATATCTTTTTTTATATATTGTAAAAATAATTATTTGCAGTAGGAAATTCAGTGAACTTGATAATTTAGTTGCATTACATGTATCATCACAATTGGTATATTTCTTGTAGTATTCTATGATTAAAATGAACAATTGCCATGTGTAGGTTTATAACATGAAAAATAACCTCTTAAGTGAAGTAATGTCCCAATGATCAGCTGTAAGCTCACATGAAACCTAATTTAAGAGAGGTATTTTGTAGCAGAATGTTACACTTCTTTAATAATTTAAGAAGTTCAAGAACAATTAATTTAAGTAGAGAAAATTGAACTTCAGACTCATTTATAGTTCTTCTTGCTCTATTAATCTATTATCAGGTGGCATAATCAGTAATCTCATTGATATAATTACCATGAAGGCTACTGTTTTGCTAATCAAACTGTATCGTTGGGGTTTCCAACAAGGTAGAAAATACTTGGGTAAGTTTGCAATTACGAAAACATGTGATGTAGACTATTTTGTGAGTACAAACATAATTAAATTAATATTTTATTTGTAAAATGAAATAGCCTTCTCCCTTGGTGTCTGAACTTCAAGAGAGAATACCCAGAGGACATTAGCTTTGGTCTAACAGTAATTTTTCATGTGTGGAATCATTTAAGTAGTTTATTCCTCAAAGAACATGAATATTTGTTTGGCTCCCTTGATTTCAACAGAACTATGACATGTTTTAAGTGTTTTATGTATCTGTACTCACACACACACTCACACATACAAACATGCATATTTAGATAGTGGTATATTAAAATTGTCCCTGAAATTATATAGAGTTTTCTGTGTAATAGATAAATTGCAGCTGCCATAGGTTTCAAACACATAATCCTGCAAATAATGCAGGAATACAGTGTGTACATATTTATGTTATACAATACTAATGGACAATAATTATAGTAGACTTTAATAAATAGTCCCATTAGTAGATACTAATGTAATGCTTTCTTTTGCAGCTCCGTAAAGCCATTATAGATCACATCTCAGACTCCTTCTTAGATACCACTGTTCCACTTCTAGTTCTCATTGAAGCTGCTAAAAATGGAAGAGAGAAAGAAATAAAGGAATATGCTGCTATATTTCGAGAACATACCAGCAGGCTTGTGGAGGTATGTTTGACGGAGTTGCACTTTTTTGGAATCTATGGTATAACTGACTTGCCACTGCACATTTCCTTTGCTGGCAGATATCATAAAACAATTAAGCCTGGCATTTCAGGAAGAATACATAAATGGCCTAGGGTAGTAGTAAACATACTCCTTTTTTTAGGTAATGGTACGCAGTAAGATAGTGGGCTTTGTGGTATCAGCATTTATATAGCATTTCATTGCATAGAAATTAGGTGGTGGGGAATTCTAATTTGAGAAATCAGTGTAAGCCTTTCCAGTTCAGTAGGAACTTGATCAAATGTGTGATTCTAAGGAGTATTAGGGCAAAGTGTTCAGAATACTACTATCCAAACTACATGAGACACTGTATTAGTGTTAGTTGTTTGCCACCTTTCTCACTTTGAAAGTTTATAGCCTGTGTAATGATATGCTGAAGAGGAAATGGTGCTCTGACACACAGTTTAAAGTCATGAACTCTCTAGCAGACTGAAAGCATGTTGGCGTATATGCTGAATAAATTCACTCGCGTACATTGTATACTCAGTATTCATTTCTAAAGGATGTACTTCTTTATTACTTATAAATGATACTTCTTCATCACTTAGAAATTTGCAAATAGAGTTGGGCAGAGATTTTAGTTTGTTGGACAATGAGTCCTGCAAATGTGGCTAAATATTCACTGACTTAAACTCAGTCAAACTGGAGCTTGAAACGCTGCTGGAATACTGAAGTCATGGATTTTGCAGGAATGTTATCTCAAGTGCTTATAAGGAATGCGTTGCTAATTTTTGTGGTTTTTTTGAAGCTTTTAGTGCTTTTGTGTGCAGTAATGCAAAAATGGGAAAAATCAATGAATTCACTCTGGCTGAAAATTTACTTAGGAAAACTATTTGGCTCAGAATGAATTCATTAATCTTGGATGATCTACAGATAATGAAAGACAAATAGGTAAACAGCTGAAGTAAAAGTAGGGTATTGCATTTATGTTTCTCTTCATGGCTGTGTAGTTACAGAATAAGACTAGTTATTATTCTCCGATTTACAAGAGTGTCTCGTTTTGACCACGCTGCAAAATCAAATGAAAGCTAAAACACAAACCCAAAGTTTTGAAAGTTTTTCAGATTTTTAATGCTGAAGCTAAACCAGCCTGAAGTGGCTTGATTTTTAGAAAGGACAGGTGATCCCTGAAGATCAGATAACTTCACTGAATTTGGAATTGAGTCCAGGTCAGCTGAAATACCCGAATCATTATTCAATTTAGAAGATGTGAACCTAAAAATCCAATATTCATTTCCTTTCATGGGTTTGAATTTGTTTCCCAAATGCAAGGAATAGCTGGCCATCAGGGTATGTTTGTGATTAAAGGGGCTGATGGCTGCACAGATACACTGCCTAAAAAATTTACAATCAGCTGCTTATGTGAACATAAGACTACCCAGAAGATAGCTATCTATCCTTAGTGATGTAGGAAAAGCGGTAGCAAAGTTTTCAAATCCAGCATAGTTACTACCTAGAAAGGAAGAAAAAAAAAAGTCAAATGTTCTTTTTTAGCATAGACGTTACTAGTCCATTTCACAGTGTCCCTTCTGCAGTGATAACCAGACTAGACAGTGATACCTCAAAAACTTGCAGAGATTGCCTTCGTTCACCTCACTGAATGATTAACTTCAGAACCCTCTGTTTTTACCTAAACTTATTACTTAAATGCTATTAAGCAGAATAGTCTAAGAGGGAAAGTATGTGTATAGTTCATGAATGTAAATACTAGTGGAGATTCATTTATCCAGATTATTCTAAGGATATCAGACATATTTACCTTACAAGCAAATCAGTAAATCATAAACAAATCATGTGAGGGGATAAAAGCAAGACTCTCATGACTGTTGTATAAAAGGGGCCCTGTTACATGGTAAACTGATCTTACTGTACATGTAAATAATACAGTATGTGTATACATATTTATATTTATGCTGTGACTTAATATGGTGCCTACAGTGAAGAACACATACTTCTAAAAATGTTTTAAGTGGCTTTCAGAGAGATGGTACACAGTGCCACCTCCTATTGTTGAATTAGTTGTTCCAAATTGTCACTTTACTTGTGCTTATATCGTATGCTGTTATGGAAAATTAACATAGAATAAAATTGAAGTTATCTTCTGGATATCTATGAGAACTGAAGTATCTTATTTAAAAGTTGCTTATATTAGTTAAATGCACTTACCAGTATGTCTAAGTGAGAGCTTGATTGATGGCTTTTTGATAAACTGTACTGCTAAACTCTCCAGCAAATTAATTAGATAGTAGTTGTACTGCATCCATCAACTGGTAGCCTATCAGATATAAACCAAAACAAAAATGAAAAAAATATTAACAGCTAAGCAAGTGGCCTCTGTACATATAAAGGGGCTTTGTACATACAAACAGATTTATCTGATTTTTAAGAAAAAAATCAGTCATTTCCAACAGCATTATCAAAGAAAAAGAATAATGGCAGCTGTTTTGTGGAAAGTGTAATACCAATTCAATTGATATAAATGGAATAGCAGTTAAATACATTAGAGCTGTAAATTGGAAGCATATTTTGGTTTTTAGTGGGCTAAAAACTGTTAAGCTGAGAATATATATCTATATTTAAATTGACAGTAGTAGAACACTGCACTGTTGCTTTAATTTGTCAAGGAATATAACAGATAGATAGATCTTACTAATCTTAGTTTTCACAAGTATATGTACTTCAGAAATACACACATACTTCAGAAACTGAGAAGTGGCAAATATGTATGGAGCTTGGTTTCCAACTGATCATGGTGCCATGGGTAATGGATATTCCATAGAAATCAGGTATAGCTAAAAGTGCTACCAAAACTGGGGAGCCGGATTCTGCAAGAACGACAGGACAGACAGAAAGGAGATGAGTTGGCTTTGTATCCTTGCTACTTCTATCGTCCATTTATTTATCAAAGAATTTACTTTTTCTTGGTGATTCCTCTAATGTATAAACATCACCTGTCCCCTTTGCCAGGGATATGTTTCATAATGTGGTGTTGTCTGCCATCTGTAAGATTTTGAGTTGGATGACAGGTTAATTCAAGATCCAACCCTGTACAACATTTCCAGGGTTTATGAGAAAGTTGTCAAGCATCTTTGTATTTTATTAGAAGGCTCTTAAATGACAGTTATGATTTGCATGTTCGCAGGAAGGTCCTCACGTTCATTCCTTTGGTATTTCCTTCACTGTTACAAGTCAACAAACAAATCCCCTTACAACTTTCAGGTTAAGAAATATAAATCTGGAAAGCTAGTCATGTATGCTATTGCAGAATTGGGCTTGATCGCTGCAACTGAGAATAACTTAAGTCAAGTATTGAAGTGCAAGATCATGGGTGGCATATACCTGGCTATGGAATACTAACAGAGACAACAGTTGAAGGTAAAATATTTTAAAAGCAAACTACTAAGAAAAAAATGTTGCAAAAAATGGCATACAACAGTAACTGTGCTAGAGAAGGCTGGTAGGTGAGGTAGATGAGACATCAGACAATTGTAATATAACTGTGAAGGAGTTTTACCATCTACACGCAGTTGTGACATCCAAGGAGTTGGCTGGATTGTGGGCAGGAAATCATACAGCCAAGGCCAGTGATGCAAGCAAAACTGCCCATATTGTTAAATACAAAATACCTTCTTTATCAGAAGAAAAAAGTTTTTTATTTTGTCAGCTGCAAATAGCCTTCATGGAACACAGGACATAGTGAAGCTGCTTGCAAGCATTGAGATGTGAAAACTAGCTGAGATGCTGGCAATCCTTAGTTTTTGTCTTGGAGAACAAAAGCTAAGAAAAAAAACCATTTACATTCTCACTGTCCTTTTTTTCTGAACGTAAAACACCCGAGGTGTGGATCTGAGCCCATTGTAAACCCTGGCCATCCATAACATCCCATGGTAAAGAATTTCACAACCTGACTATCTGTTGTGTAGAGAAGTATCTGTGAAACCCCCACATGATGATTTCATTTGCTGTCCCTGAATTCTTGTATCAGAAGAGAAAATGAGCACCAGTCCCTATCTTCCTTCTCCATGCCACTTACAGACCTCTGTCATGTCCTCCTTCAATTGTCTGTTTTCCAAGTTGAGTATTCCTGGTCTTTTTAAATTTTCCTTGTTTGGAAGCCATAAAACGATCACCTTGCTACCTTTGCTGTAGCTTTTCCAGCGCCTACCAGCTCATGAGGTGGTAGGTCAGAACTGTGCATGCTGTTCAAGATATTCAAGATAAATCTTGGTGTTCTCTGTTTCCACATCTATTTAATTCCTAATAGTGTTTCTTCTCAGATAACCGCTAAACACTAAACTGCAACTGTCACAGAAATCTTATATGATAATCCCAAAATCTTATTCCTGATTAGTACTAGTCTGCTGAGGTCTGTCATAGATATGTAAAACTGGATTATTTTTTTTTCCCAAAATGACTCACTTTGCATCTCTCTAGATTGAATTTCATCTTCCATGATATCATCTAGTCATCTAGTACCATGAGGTCCTTCTGCAAATCTTCATTAGTTCTTTTATTTCCTACTCCGAATAACTTGGTAAAAGATGCATAACAAAAATCAATAATAAGTTAATGCAGACACTGTGACCACAAGGAAATTTCTGGCTGATAGCTTTCTCCCAATTTCCTGCTGATTTGTTCCTGAGGTTGAAAAAAGTGATGCTAATCTATCCGTATCAGCTGAGAATTACTGGTTACTCAGCCACCCCGATTCTTGGAGGAGCCGTAGGATCTACATGTCTGGATCTCAGTACTGCAATTAATAGTCTAGCTCTTTCTTGGCAGCCTCAGGGAGGGCATTATTCCATTGCCTCCATGTATGGAAACAGGTCTGTCCATTTCTGCTTGAATTTAACATTGCTCTTCTGAAAGATATTTATGGTGTAAGAAAGCTTTATGACTATTTCCTTTTCATCATATAAAGGTAACTTTTTGCACTTGAAGAT